CATCCCTGCCATCGGGGAGTTGGACCAGTTAGACCCTCAGTGGAGACCACGTTCGTGGACTGTGAGACCACGGGTTCAAATCGGGTGTGGACGTCCGTGTAGGGTGAACGAAGCATCTCCCACGGTTCGTGGTGTAGAAAGAACTTGAAATCACCAAGATGATACCCAGACACGACTAATGGGACTGCCATAGGACTGCCTACATTCAGCCCCAAAACCACCCAAAACCATGTCGGCAGTCCTATGGCAGTCCCATAGACAGGTCGTGTCTGGGATAGAAGAAATCTCAGCTCCTATAATCTTCTATAAACCTATAAACCATCTATAACCCATGTCACACTTGAGTCAGTTGTTGGTCGAAATGACCCCCTATGAACCCCACACCTTCTGTGATGAACTAGTTTTTTTCTTCCCATTTCCCAGTTCTTTCCTTGCTTGAGATGCCATCCGCAATACACATCCCTGACCCTAACAAGAAGCAACAGCACCCCACTTCCTTCCCACTTCCTCCCAAACCCAGCCAAGTCCCAAGTCCCCCGGCCGGATCACCGCGACATCTGCGCCCATGCGAACCATCAAAGGCACAGATCAACTTGTGGTTCGCTCCACGATTTCAAGTCCACCGAATCGTTGGCTTGATCTTCCTCCTCCAGTTCTTTGCTGCGATCTTCTGGCCACTGGGGCGAAGAAACCAAAGCAGAGTGGATCCAGTTACCACATTATCCACTATTATATTAGGTAACCAGTGGTTCCAATGGTCCAAGGGCTACATAAAACACGTTGATGGAAGAACATCAACCCCCGGTTCCGATTCCTCGTGGCTGCCAAGCGAAGCGCAGGAACACACGAAGCGAAGCGCACCTGGCGCATACCCTAGGGCTCCAGTCGTACCTCCTCAGAAGGTATTTGGACCCTCTAAACCCACCCCAAACACCTTCTTAGAAGGTACTTGAAGGTGTAGGGATATGAACCCCCAAATATATAAGTAATATATAGAATCTCCTTTTGCTCGCCTTGGTCGAGAAAAGAAGAAGCAGCTCCTTCAGGTATGTGTGGGACTACCAGCATTACCTGCGCACGCCACTGGTGTGGAGTTTGGGGCTCACAGGACTGCTGCAAGCCATCACGGCCTCCTTGACCTTCACCTTCATGCCGAAGGTGGTTTTTTTGGGCGCATGTCCTCAAGGGGATAAATCGGATAGGACCAGAGAGGAGAAGTGAGGGGATGCCTTTCGTCTCTTCTTTTTCGTAAGGTCGAGACTATCTCTGGAGATCTTGGAGTTATCATCCCACTTGGAGTTCTCAAAGAAAACTGAAACTGATGGAATCTTGAGCATCTTTGAGATACTCACTGGCCGCAGTCCAGGTGGCCGACCCGGGCTTTATCGCCATGGCTGACAAGGCGCCACTGAGCTTCTGGGCGCCAGGTTGTGTGACGATGATGTGGACGTTGTTTCGGCCAGGTTGTGGAGAGTGGTCATGGAAGTGAAGAACTTCATTGGTTGGGACATGACATGCATTGCTGCTTCTGGATTTGATTTAAATGACTTCATTCCGATTCCTCTTGACGGAAAGGGTTGGTCATATTGCATCCTCTAAGAGCGGGTCTGTGACAGGTAAGACCTCTCCGCTCTTGGGTCGGGACCTTCGGGACCTTCGTCGTAGAGGTCCCCGACGCAGGATGTCCTCCCAGCTGATGTGAGCACACGCAGGACATCACACGCAGCCCAGCATAGTTCAGCCCGTCTTTCAGGAAGTCCCGATGTCTGAAAGGCACGGCCTGTCGGGGCTTTTGGCCTCCGGCAGCCTACATGGACACACGAGGGCCAACGATTTTGCTGTCATTATAATTCAGTTGTTCCACTTCTGTGTGTTGAAGGCAGGGTAAACGCATGTTTGTCAAAGCAACCCAGCTTGGTCACCTATACATTCCTATACTGCACCGTTTGGTCATGGATACACGTTGTTGAAGTCCAAACCGGGGCGTCGTTGACGCAGCATGAGACAATTACGGAGTGCTAATAAGCAGAGCACGTCATTCCCGCCTTGAACCATGGACCCAAAGTTTTGTACCGTAACTCTTTTCCAGAGACTTTTTCAGAAGATGGTTGGTTCTAGTCTAGTCTAGACCGTACCCAGTCCGTGGATAGCCTTCTCGGCTTGGGAGTCAGTGTTGCAGTAGATGTGCCATATAGGTTTTCACCAATGACGTACGGACCGGACGAACGAGCAACTGTTTTTCGGGGTGTGTGACTCATGGGACCCGTGACCAGTTTAGAGATTAGTGTATACTGTATACATCTACATCTCTATACTGTTTTATTGAGAGAGACCTTTTAACAAACATCATCAACTGTTACTGGTAATGGGATTTATCAACTAACAAGGCATCAAATTCTTCTCAACACGGACTACGGCGACTACGGCGACAGGTTGTTGTTGCTACTCGTGCGTTCGCATCTACATGTCTCGTTCTCCGCATCGCTGTGTGCGGCAAGCTATAGGTTACCGCTTCATCGTGGAGAACAGTTTCTTTGCCATGCTGTTGTCGTTTCAGTGCTTCTACATGGACAACCGGATTCTTGGCACCACTGAGTTCCTTCTGTTCTGCGAACTGTTCTGCTGCACTGGATAGATTTGCACAGAACTGGGGTGTAAATCCTGCCAATCTCCACGTTTCCGTACCCGCTATGATACTGCAGGCAATCACGTGTATGAAGCCACTCAGCAACTTAGATCCACCATGCTCTCTTCTGGACGTTTCTTGCCCACAGGCACTTTGTTTTCTGGCACCTGCTGAACCAAACAACTCCTCCTTGAAGATCAGGCAATTGCTGTATGTTGCTGCCATTCTAGCTCCACCAACCTCGTTCGCCCCAACACAATTCGACATGGGACACCACCACCAAGCACTTCGCTGCCGCCTTCATGCGCCTTCAACGTTCAGGTCCAGGTCCTCTCGTTTTCAAATCTCTTCCACGTTGGCCGATCCGCCTCCAGGATCTACGGTGCAATTCGAGCGTGTTGGCCGATTGAACTTCTGTTCGTGTTCCTTCCCTACTACATTCGACCACTGTGGCCCACTACCCGGATCCGCCACGCGCTGGAAAATGCAAAGAACAAGTCTGAGACTTGGGTGAAATCAGGTGGGAATGACATGGTGGAGCCCACAACTGGAAGCAAGAAACCAAACAACCAAGTCTTTTTGGGGTGGTTTGTTGAGATGTGAATTTGGTTCTGAGGGAAGTTGATCTAAGATTACCAACAGTTGTGCAATTTATGAAACTTCTGCCAACACAATTAACATCGCAAAATATACCTAGCAGCGCTAACAAATCGACTGGTGTGAATACCCATGCCAAGCGTCAAAGCATTTCTTAAGTTATAACCTAAAGGCATCAGCACGAGTTTCATGGGTCCTATGGTTTGAGAATTTGTCTTTTGCAGACGCGGAGCTTCTATAGTAGCGGTGGTGGTGGTGGTGGTGGCGGCGGGGGTGGTGGTGGTAGTAGTGGTGGTAGTAGTAGTAGTAAGTAGTAGTAGTAGTAGTCGTCGTAGTCGTATCAAGAGTTGGAGTAGGTGCAGGAGTAGCAGGAGTAGTCTTGAGAATTCTTTGCAAGCTTCTACGAGTTGCTCCGTTGCTCCCACTGGGGTCGGTTGGTTCAAGCCATCCAGCAGTTGGGCACAGAAAAATCCTCCGTGCTCAGCATCCGAGGACAAGAATCGTTTCTTTATGGTGGCATCCAGCTGGATTGTGAAGTTCTTCTACAGCTTTGCCAAGCACTACATCGGCGCCCTGGTTTAAAGCAATGACTTTGATGGTGTCTCTACCCTCAGGTAGATGTTGCGGTATGTAAATGTATTGTAAATGTTTGTGTGTTTTGTTCACCAAATTGTTAAACAGTTGTGCTACAGTATCTAGTTTGAAAAAAAACTGGTCGGAGGATTGAAGTCACTGTAGTTGGAGGATTCACTTGAACAACACATTGCTCCAAGATATCCCAAGTATTAGACATCCTCTTTGTCACATCCTTTTTCACCTCTCACCCTCTCACCCTTTGCGTCTCGCTTGATCACCTCATCAGTTCGACCGTCGAGGATTCTTCTTGAACTACATCCGCTTCCTGGGTCGTGTGACCCCAGAGGACGATGTCAACGATGTCAGTGGACGAACCAACGAACCATTTTTCGAGACGCATGGGGCCCGGTGCAATTTGGTGTGTGTTGCGGTTGACTATTGGAAGGGGGAGTGTGTTTCCACATGTCGCGGCAACCATTCCTTGGTCATGAATTGGAGTCAGTTGTCGGGAGCAACCGAGGTTCGCATGTTTTCAGCTTTAGGGGTTGGCTGCAAGTCAAGCGCAAAATACAAACCTAGATCAAAACAAACGGCGTCCTGCTGCCAAGCTAGTAGAGGATTGTGCTCTCGACTCAAGGCAGTTCTTGTTCACCACCAGATTCTTTGAAGAAGTATTGTTTCTATGTCAATGAGACTGTTGCAGATGACTGTTTTGCCCTTCCACTCCCGGCATAAACGCCCGCCCCAAACGATCCAGAGACTCGGTGGAAGTCCAAAGAAAAGTGTCCATGTCCATATTCGGCCGATGCCCTTCAAATGGGGCGCACGGAAGCGGCGGCGGGTTGGATTTGGGCAAAAACATTCGGGAATCCACCACAGGGGCAAAAATGATCGCCCAGGTCATCCGGTGGTGCAAAACAACATCTCAGGTGGGTGTTGGGTTTCGTTTTTTTTTCGCCCTGGAAGCTTAGCTTTAACAACCGTTTGGAGGACCAAAAGATCATTCATGGGATCTTGCTTACCTCGAACTACATGACCACCATCGCCTTGTTCCTGCACACCTTGAAGTTCAAAGGCTGGTTAGGTCCTCGGCAAGCCACGGTGGCCTATGAGGGGGCTTACATCATCACTGGGATCTTCTATTGGCAGTTCTTGGGCACAATTGCACCTGGCTCCGAGATTTGTCAATGCCGGCTGTCACACAGACCCGGCATTGTTTTTGGCATTTTTTTTTCCGGTGGGGCGGGCAGTTCTTCGGTGGAGGGAAAAGGATTTCTATGGATTTCTTACATGTAAAAATATCTAAATCGCTGGAAAAAGGAGTGCAGTCTTCTGTCATCGCGTGGCACACCGGCACACCCGTTGTTTCCTGAAACGTGACTTGCCGCGCGCCCCCTATAGGCTCCCCACTCGCTCGTCATGCTGAGAAGTCAGGTCCAACAGACCACTGTTTTCAGGTGACCGCTTTCAGGGAATATGGGCTCGTCACTGGGCTCGTCTCATAGCATTGCCGGGAGTGGAAGATGCCTTGTCGTGCATCTCACTTGCTTCGTTCGCATCATTCCTTCCAAAACAGGCACAGAACCTGGATTTGGCGCTGCTGTGTTTCATTGGCTTGGTCTTGAACTTTGGCCCCAGGCCCTTGTGGCACATGTACCAGGCGTTTTTGGCGTCGCGTGGACGACGTCGCGACGTCTGTCGGTGTAGCCTTGTGGCGTCCACCAAAGACTCGACCGTCGATAGCCACAAAAAGGCTTGTGCTACGGGTGTCAACAGGAAACCAGAAAAGGTGATGACTCATCTTCCACGTGCGGCCAGATGAACCTTTCACTTCTTCAGCTGGCAAGTTGGGTGCATGAGAAGTACCATTGGGGAACGGGGTTCTGAACAACAGCCGTTTGGAGCCTTTCTTTTGACTTTGGAGCCTTTCTAGATTGCTTTTTGGTTCCTTTGTGCTCACATGCAGGCCTTGATGCTCTGCTATCTTTGCAGTGCACGAGCTCTACTTGAGTCTCCTGTCACGTCACTTCCCTCCATCTTTTCCTTGCCAAAGATGTTGCAAGAGCTGCTGGCATGATGAACGCGGCGGGCCGAGCAGAGGAAGAATCTTCCCATGAAACTGCCGGTGGAAACTGGCGTTTTAGAGCGCTGGTTCGGGAACAACGATGCCAACTTCTGAGTTTCTAGAAGGTGCTCCTCTTTCAAGGGGCTCCATGTACAGGGTTTATAGGGGTGGTTGAAAAGGGGCTCCACTTCAGAGGCTCCACGGAAGAGTGGTGTCACGAACAGACGTCCAGCATAGCATGGAGGAGGATCTAAGGGTCTTTCCCTAAGAAGAGTTCAAGCACGCCAAAGGCATCGGCTGCTGTCCAGAGAGGCATTTGGTTCAGCGCAGGTCACCAGGTGCAACTATATACGACTATATACCTTCGTTTCCCGCTCTAAATGTCAGGGGTGTCTCAACATAGGGTGACACAGGGGCACAATAGAAGACACCTAACGGTTTGTCCTTTTCTGGCCTGAGTGATTGCCTGGACTGCTTCTCAGTAGGGCAGACCTTGTCTCCCCATTTGTCGCTGTTTTTTTTGTTTCCCAAAGGTCTTTGTTGCTATTCTGAGGGCCCGTGTTGATCATAACTTCACAACTATCAGTCTCTTTGAGGGACAGATTGTAGACACTGAGGCAAACAAAAGTGGACTGAAGTTGTTGTGTTGTAGGGGTAGTATAATCCAAACAAAGCCTCCGAATGCGTTTCGCTGGACATCCTGTGGCTCCTGACAACCAGAAAGCTTTAAAACTGCAAAGCCTGAAAACTGAACACCGGCCGCAGCAGTGCTTTGTTTTAGTGCAGTGGCCATATGATCCTTTTTGCTGCAGGGGTTTGTTAAGGAGCAATACCCAGTGGCGTTTGGCTACGGCAGCGAATTCCCATGGGGAAGTTACCACTGGAGAGTTACTAAAGAGAATCCATTCTCATTTCCAGGTGTTTTAAGTTGGATTTGCCAAGTGCCATGGTTTCATGGCGTGGTAACTGAATACCCACCAGGATTTGCGTTCAGAGCTCGAAAAAGGGTCAAATGCGTGGTGCTCGTGAAGGGAAGCAATCTTGTAGGTGCGGCCTTCTTTTTCGCCACAAACCTCTTCAGGGTGCAACCAGATCCTGCTAGTGAACCCGCGTTTGTCGCTTTGACAACTTCCATAGCTCTCATCGACGTGGCCAGTGTTCTTTAGTTTGTGCAGAGTGTGTTGGAACACTGGGCATGCCTTGCAAACTGTGTGGTGCTCTGTGCGGAGGCCATGAAAAGAACATGTCAGTGCCAGTCGAAAGGAACATATGTAGATGACGCGTAAGAAAACACATCGGACACTGGGATTCAAAGGCTCAGGTGGGAGTCACGCATCTGTAGCTCAACCACCGGAGATCCAGTGGGCTCTCGGTTTTCGGCGTGTGCTGCAGGTGGCGCTGGGCGGCGAGGTGGATGTCGCTGGGACAGCAACGGCGCGGGCGAAACGGATCGAGGTCATTGTGTTCAGCTCATGACTCGACCGGATGACTAGTGGGCATCATCAGCTTTAGACTTTAGAGAGATCATCACTATATAGGAGGAATTCTTGACATTTGAAAACCCCATCTGCAGAATGGTTTGACATCTCCAGGCCTGGGGTTGATTCATCACTCAATATTCATCAACATCAACATCATCCCAGAAAGACGGTGGATTCAGGGACAGGAACACAGACAGATGAGTTGGATTCCACCTGGATTCAATCCATTCTGGCAATGGTGTTCCTGTTGTTTTGTACATGGCACTGGTTCTAATTTGCCTCCACCATGTGTAGGTTCACTGGTTGGATAGAGTTATCCCTTCCACCAACTGATTGTGAAGCCAAACCCCGACTCCGAGCCCGCGGCGGGAAACCACTCTGGTCATTGGCATCGCAGCATCGTTCAATGGAAAGCCACCTTTAGCGCTTGTAAAGTGCTAAAATTCTCAAGGAAACACCCTCAGTCGCCAGAGGTCTTCCAGGTTCCTAGTTGTCACATGTTGTCACTTTAACATGTTCCATGATGAGTTCAAAAGTGTGGTGAAAAGGGTTCAACCCGACCATGTAACAGTCCAAACGTAATCATCACAAAGGGGCTCTCTATCAATTTGCAATGCAATACCAGGTGGGGTGGACAACCTGACCTAAGCTTTAAGCCTATTCAGTTCGTTGATGCAAGATGGTATATTTTTTGAGATGGGCAAAACTCGGACACCCATCAAATAGTATGCCCAATTTAAGTCCTTTTTTCAGTTTTGGGCCAGTAGAGTGTCCGGCCAATCTAAATGAGCTGTCACTCACATCTCGAAGAAGAAGAAGAAGAACTGCTACAATTGTGTTGATGCGCATTTGCTACATCCATATCAAAGCAGACATGGATAATTATGCCTGCGGAGCCGTATGATGTAGCTATACTTTGTGTTGCGTTCCTGTACTTATGGTACCTAGTACCTAGCTAGATCTTGACTTCGACCTGGATGAGATCTACTTGGTTGTCACGCAGCTTTATAGACATGTATTTCAGCCGAGGAGAACTTCGAGCTGGAGCAGTATGCCACATGGGCAGCAGTATGAGCTCGCTTTCCTGTACATCGAATCGCTTCGATGATCATCGGATCCTCCAGGGCCTCACAACCACCCGAGCCGGGTCGGTCGAGCCGGACAGACCTCAACCACCCGAGACGTTTCGACGAGCCGGACGCCCAAATGCGCCGGGTCCCCGAGGGTTTCGCCGCGAAACCGAAGACCTTTGGGTCTACAGTACCAGTGATGCGAGATCATCTTGTGAGTGCTTATATATGGTATTATATGGTTGTATTCTTATAATGCCTGTGAGGTAAATTACTGTAATTATGGCATATTGTGACATGGCATATTGCAACGACACCAAATTCCTGACGCCTGACGGCGTGGTCACACGTGGTCACGGCGTTCCCCCGACCTCCCTGCAGCGCATGGCCACATGCGGCGCAGCGGAGTAGCAATGTCTCCGGCGCGGAGTTCCTCAGGATGTGCTCTACATTTGGAGCACGGTGGAGGCCATCCTGGAGCTTCTGGGCTTCTCCTGGGTGAGCTTAATTGCCCTGGATGGTGCCCTGGACGAAGGTGAAGGAGGTGCAGATCTTAGGATTTGGGCATGAACCAATCTGCTGGGAGGTGGTGAAGGAGAGGTTTCTCCAGATTTGAACCACTCAACATTCCAAACCTGGAAGTGAAAGACCAGTTTCTTGCAATGTGTCACCGCATTTTGTGACACTGTCATCTCATCTAATTGAGGGTAAAGAACTGTCGCACCCAATCAATCTGGATGTTTCATGATCTCTCTCTCTCTCTCTCTTCTTCCTAGTTGGAATCTTCTACCTGGAATTCATGTCACACCAACACGTGCCGTTCTTTTTGTTTCAATCCGAAGACCTCCAAAACACTTGGCTGTGAAGCCTGTGGACCGTTTCAACTCAAGTCGACTGACATCTTCTTCTCTCTTCCCTTTCATCAAACCGGTCGTTGGTGCTCCTTGAAAAGGGCGCCCGGCGCCCTTTCTCCCCGAAGACCTAGGAATTGGTTCGACCCCAGACACCTCCAGAGGATTTGAGTCCAGAAACCTCTTGGTTCATGGTCTTTCATGGTGGATGCTGAGGTGGCTTTGAGCACCAGCATCGAGACGAAGGACGCGAGTTGGTGGAGGTCGTACTCGATGGGCTTTGTCCATTGGCCACTGGGAGGAAGATGCACTAATGCAGACATATGCAGACCGTGATATATCTTGCATTGTGTATTAGCCTTAGTTTTAGGTGAGGAGAAACGTGAAACAACGCCCTGCAACATAGAGCTGAACGTGAGACAACACGGAACCCCTGTGCTACTTCTAGAATACTTCTTTGACAAGTCTCATCATACCAGATCTGATTTCTGGGCCTTACCGCCGTCCAGCCCAGTCGCCACTTTGCAGTCGCCGAGGTCAAAGAGCAACTGACCTCCACCACGATGCGGCTTCGCATGAGATTACACAAGACTGTCTCAGGGGATTGCAGTTGATGCCTGGCTCTTTTTTGTACACGATTCCCTAGAGTTACATATCCATGTTCATCCCCTTTTTTCAAATCAAACTTAACATGTGGTAAGAAAGTTAGCCACACTGAACATGCAGGCAAAACTGTTTTATTCACTTCAACCCCACAGCCGCGCAGCTCATATAGTTTTCCTCCTTGCACATGTGGGGCCTTTTGTATTGCAATCGCTGCTGGCCACACGATCCTTCCACACGATCCGCTCGTTACGTCACAGGAATTCCGAGAACAAGAGCAACGATGCACTTGTTACTAGTAGCAAACATTGTTACTACTAGTAAGGCACTTGTTACTGCGAGAACAAGAGCAAGAGGTATGAAATTCTGAAAGGTGACAATCTCAGGAAAGTCACCACTGGACCTTTTCTCCGCAGTACCGTAGTCACATACTCACATGTGTCGCATACCAATGTAAAGATAATAAACATGCGCCTATATAGTAGGGATAGAAACCTCACTTCCGATTGGTTCCTAACTCGTAGTTTTCTAGTTTGTCGTCTCAAGGTTGGTTTGTTCCTGTGTTTTTGAACGATACAATGCTCTCGAGATCCTTAAATTGTTTGTCCTCGACAAGCCTTCTTGGACCTTTGCTCAGAAATGACCGGTGCGCGGGGTGCCACTCCAGGCTGGACAACACCTATGGAGCTAACTGCTTAGCCATTCGGCCGTGCTCCATGCAGCACTTCCTGAAGCCTGAAGCTCAAGCTGAGGAGGCCGGTGCGGAACAGGTCCGGTTCTACAGCCCTTCACCGGAGATGAGAACCAACATCATGGACATGGCAAGTGGAGCGACATGGACGGTATCCCACACCAAAACGCCATGAAAACATGTTGAAACCATAGAAACTCACACGCGCAAAGCATCGCAAAGCAGCACCTGAACAGGACAAACGCAAAAGACATGCCACCAACAGCCAAGTCACTCATCGCTGAGCATTTTACAACGAGACAAGGTCGCATTCTGTTTCCAACGAGAAGAGTTGGCAGTTGCAGGTCCGAACCTTTGTGGGTCTTCTGCGAGATCCCAAGAAGGCCTATAAGTCATGGCCTCAGATCGAGGAACGAGAGACCCAACACCCTGGACAGAGCTGGGCGCAACAGACCTTATTTAAGCCGTGAACAAGCAGTGAACAAGCAGGTGATTTAGGCCGGTTCAATCCGCCCTCTGAGCAGGTGACCCAAACTTTTGCAGATTCATTGAGCTTTTGATTGAACCTTAAGTTAGAGCATCCCTCAAACATGGAGAACCGATTTCAGTTTGACTTCAGGTGGATCCGTTTCCCCCCAGGGGGTTTTCCAGTGTTTTCCATATGTTTTGTAACCGACCCGATGGGTAAATCATGCTGGTGGATTCCATGTTTTCCACCAAACGGTGTACAACGGCCGCAGCGGCACAACCTCACGCCGTGCCCGACAGAGGTTCCGGATCGGCGACAACCTCATCTTGGACGTGCCGCGGAACTTCGCTGCAGACTATCAGATGCTCAGTGTGGTGCAAGACGCGATGTTCTCCGTGGGTTGGAATGGGACGCGGTGAAGGGAGAAGTCCCTGCAGCACGATGCAATTCGCCATGGGGGGTGGCACAATTGACTGTCCCAATTCACAAATTGGAGGACCCGTCCAGTCCAGAACTCGCGCACGCGGATGGTTCTGGGCGGCACAGATGGTTCATTTTTGTTCGGACCCTTTCCAGTGTACAGTCTACTGTATGTATGTCACTGTAGTCCATACTGTAGAAGGGAGTACGGAGTATGCGATGTTGAATCTATTTTTGGCCATGCAACCATTCATCAATTAGATTCTTGCCATCCACGATACCGTTACTTGCATGGACTTGCCTAAGTTTCTTGTTTGGAAGTGCTTTCAGTTCCTTTTGCAATCTGGTCAAGTCAACCTGTGTGTCTGGCCTATGTACAGTGGCCTATATTTTGAGTGAAAGACACACTCTATATTCTTCAGCACTGCAAGCTGACATGATGTATGATCATTGGCTACTACAACGTCATGCCAATTGAAGTTTGTCTGTCCCTCCTCCCGAAAGAACGAGGAATACTACCCACTTCAGCCTTGTGCGGAAGCTCAACGAGGATGAGGTGCATTGCCTAGTGCCATTTCAAGTCTTTCAAGTCTCGATAGAGGAAGTGCTAAATCTTCCTGTTGTTCTAGTATCACTGCTTCCACAAGTCGCGAACTTCCATCGGGACGGAACGCTCCGGTTCTATGCATAACCGGTGCGAGATGTTGCGATCATGCTCCTTCAAAGGGATTGTACCACTCAAGGCATGCTGGTCAGTGGGTTTGAGCTGCTTCGTTTCCGGCAGTTCACAGATCCTGGTGCAGGAGTCACGTCCTATGGCTTTCTACCCAACTCCCCAGATGAAACCTTCGCCACGCAACGAGCCAGGAAGATCCCAGCGGCAAAGGTGGGCAAGGTCGACTGGGACTGACCGGGACCCGACGGGGCTCGACGGGGGCGACGACGGGCTCACGGGCAGGTCGGCACCACAGAACGATCGGTCAGGGTTCACTCGTTCAGGCCCGTTCAGGTGTTCACCTCCGTTCAGAAACGTTCCACCATGGCTTCCACCGCCCGCAGCTTCCTGCGGCACCCGTGGCCGCTGTGGATTTTTTCATGTGTGCGTCATTCAGCCAGAGGAAATGGTCGCGGTGGACAAGTATCGGTCCATGGTCCATCGGAGATCCAGGAGTTTGAGGAAGAACCCGCAGAAAAGATCGATTCCAAGGACATGTTGGTCTGGGGTTGGTTGACGCATGTTGACACCCTTCGAGGGGGTGTTGCTGACACGAAAGAACGATGTACACTTGGATACTCGGCCTAAATATTTGTCCAACAGATCATTAGAGAGGCGCCCTGTTGGACGTCAACGAGCACAAGGGCTTCAGAATGCTTCAGACTGACGAATTGAGAAGCACAACGAGTCACCTCTCATGGAAGGGTCCCCCCAAAAAGCCGAGTCCGTTGCATCGATTGGCCCATCGACTCGTCTTTGCGTCTATCTGAGCATGGGTGAAGAAGCTACTCTTTACCAGCACCCGACTCTACAGGTCTCCTCGTTCGAGGGTTGTTTTGGCCTAACAGGTCTCAATTGGTGACCTGTGACGTCCGGTGCTGGTAGACCCACTGCCGTTCCTGGGAGAACCAGCGCCCCCACCGCCGTTCCGAGCGTCGCCGCTTCGCCCGCCTCCTGCGCCCGGTGAACCGGTGACGAAGGCGTGGGCGACGCGCAGTACAGAGACATGACGATCAGCGGGGCCCTGCTGGTTCGGGGCCAAGGGAGGGAAGTGACAAGACGAGGGTCTTGAAACTATAGAAGCAGTGGCATTTGCTGCTGTGACTGCTGTATCTTGGATCATCTTGGATCATTTGGGACTTCAAAGAGTTCCTAAAAGCCTGGTTTTGCAGGGAAGCATGGTTGAGCCTTACTACGGCTTATAGATTACAATGAGCTACAGCTTACAGATTACAGGATCGATGGCATACTGCAGTCAGGCAGTATCAGATCTTGTGACATGCTAATCGGGGAGAATGGGCATCAAAACGTGCCCTTGCATTCTGAAAGGTTTACCAGCACCCTCCAACAGGTCTCCTCTGGTAGCTTTTGGAGACTTAAAAGTGTCAGGTGGTGACCTGTTGGAGGGTGCTGGTACATGCCAAAGCATTCTATGCAGCCATTGTCACAAGAGGACCTTGATTGAGCCATAGCCATTGACGGCCTGGCCGAACATGGCGTACCCGAACAAGTCCCCTTATTTGACCCACAACGGTGAGCCACGTATTTGCGTGGTCAATATCATCGAACATGTCATGTTCCTCCATGTTCCTCCCATCTACGGGTTCCATGCATCAACTGGGTTCCGCCATGGAACAGGTCATGTTGATTGCACTGGTGGCCAGCAACACGATGCCGCTGCTGGAGGCAGCCCTCTTGAGTTCCTTCCTCATGGCCACTGGATGACAGATCTCATCGATTTGGTTCGGTCGGAGGGTGCAGGCACGAATGAAATACCCATGACATGTGGAGTGTTTTGGTGGGATTGGTCTCCCTGCCCAACAAGATGGACAACACTTGATAATTTAGTTTGGGAATGTTTGGGAAACGGCTCTAGAGGTTCTGTTGGTAGCCTTACTTAATTCCTTGTTGACATGTTACTTGTAATGTGCTGTCTGAGATGACTGGATTTTGATGACAGGTGCTATGCTGGGCCATTCCACGCATTCGATCGGGAAACCGGGCCTGGTCGCTGAACCATGGAACAGCCGAAGGGTCGAATTATCGAAATCTCAAAATCAGAATTGATCCAGTGGGTAGCGATGTGTAGTAATGGGTGTTCACAAACCCTGCGAATTAGCATTGGTGTTCACAGCCCATTTTCAGTGGTTGACGCGAAGACGCGAAGAACAAGATTTGTATCAGTACTAAGTGGATCCCAGCTAGTTGTAGCCAAGTTTCATCCACCCTGATCATTGGTTCCCAAGGCGGACGTGAAGTGACTCCCACCTCTCTGTGACATTCATGCCGTGACATGCGACGATCCGAGCGATCCAAGGTCCTTTTTGGCTGTTTGCCCCAGAAGAAAGCCTTCAGTGCCACTGGTTCGCCCAATCCATGTGCGACCGTCAGGGGTCAGAAGACCGTGCATGACCGTCACGACCATCGGTCAGAAAAGGCTCCCTACCGATCCTTTTACGGGACACTTCGTTTGGACTCGGAATGAACAAGTGCACCAGTGGTACAAGTCCTAGGTCAACATAGATATACTCCCCTGCTATTCGGACCACATGGAACCCATTGGAACCCCATAACCACTGGGTTGTTGTAGAGGAAAATGGTCGAAACCACGGGTCAGTTCTCAGCGTCGATGGTAGACCCTCATTTATATACTTGTTGGACATTGTGCTAGGAGGTGCTAAGAGATTTGATATATTATCCAGAACCCTTGTTACTAGTAGCTTCTAGCTACTGCCAGTAATGCCCTTGTTTTATAAAAAAAATCATTGGAAAGAGCCTGTTTTCTAAATTTAAAAAATCAAAGTAAAAAAAAGTCAATCCCAAAAGTCAAAGTCAAAAAAGTCAAATCAGCAAATTTCAGAAAGTCAAAAACAAGTCAATTTGCCCAGATCCGGCCTTTTTTGACATGTGTTTGACTTGTTTTTGACGTCTTTTGCCTTGTTTTTGACTTAAAAATAAATCGACTTTTTTACTATTTTGTTATTTATTGTTTTCGACATGTTTTCGACTTTTTTTTTGTGTGTGTGTGTTTTTTTTTTTTTACTTTTTTTTGACTTGTTTTTGACTTTTTCGGGCTGTGGTCTACGGTTGACTTTTTTTCGACTTTTTTTTTGACTACTTTTTGACTTTTGCTTGACTCCAGTAATCCGCCAAGGCGAGGAGCCACAGTTTTGACTTTTTTTAAAAGCTGTTTTTTGACTTTTTTTCGACGTATTTTTTTGACTTTTTTTTGAATCACGGATTCTGGCCTTACCATATGAAAGTTTTTTTATAACCCTTGTTACTAGCATAGAATCCAGACACAATGCCCCATGTCGTTAGGGTCCGAAGACCGATGAACCTCCTTGGGCTTAGACGTTCAGCGATCGAAGACGTTCCAGACGACACGAAGAGATGAAGTCCCATGGAGCAATGGAGCGACGCTTTGTGGGGCCCACCATAAACCAACGACGCCAGTCCTTAGGCCATGGTGTGTTTTCACATGGGAAAAACTGCTCCCGCTTACGACTCTTGAAGATCTCGGCAAGGATATTGCTCCCTGGTGTGGTTTGCTTGCTGGAAACGATCGAGAAACCAGACCCCATTTCAAGATTCTAGAATTTTTTGGGGGGACCGTTTGCTCCACCATCCCATGGGTGGCACCTGGCCTATATATATATAATATATATGTAGGTGAGATGCGGTGACTATGGCTCTCGAGCTCTCCAACATGTGGGGGAAGGCAGGTCAACCGTCAACCTTTGCCATCGGTGTGTCTGTCCACGGAACCTGCCATCGGGGTCGGCACCGAACCCGACAACTGGTGGTCGATCGAATCCATTGCGGCGTCGTCGAAGGGTGCAGCCTTCGTCATTTCAGACCTGGGGTACAATCCTCGAGAGGTTTACTCTCTTGCATGGAAGGTCCCATAGGGAGGCTTTGGAGTCCGAAAAGTCAAAGAAAGGAAAGTCGTGGGTCTCTTCTCAAATTCGTTGGTAAAACTCTTGCTGGGGTTCCTGAAGGCCAAGCAACTGAGGCCATCAACTTGCGCATTGTGCTGACCATTGTTGGTGCATTCGGCATTGCCAAGGCCGGGCGAGAACGTCAAATGTCTCCATGCACCACCTCTTCAAGAACTGGAACCCTCAGAGCCTGCAAGGATATTTTTGATACTATATCAGTATATAAGCATAATAAATATGATGTTCTTATTTTTACTTTCTAATGGTGTATATATACTCAGATCATAGTTACTACCAATGGATGGCCGGGGAGGCATGATGTTTGGCAAGGAGGGTAGTTGCACTTAATGTGTTTGGCTATGTAAACACTGGCAGAGCAGAGTCCATCTTCCGTATACCATTTCTTCAATCCACCCTAGTTTATTTGAAAAGCTTCCCTTAGACGTGTGGGGCAGAGTCTCCGGACGCTTCCCTTTGGGACGACCGCGTCTTTGGGTCACAAACCCCCAGGCGGTGAACCGCACGAACCTGGCGGCGGTGATGGCGCGGGTGATTTGCCACGCGGTGATGGCGATTCCATCGGGGAGCGAACAGGATTTTTACAGCCCAAAAGAAGAGGGAGACCTGATGGAAACCTCCCAGGTGTTCATCCTAAAAGTGTCCAACAAATTATTATTACTTCTTTGTTAAAGATAAATTTTTACTCCGTCCCCTTTAGACATAAACATGTTTTTTTTTTTGTCTTGAACCACAGCCAACTGAAGTTTTGTCTACGTGGAAACACAATGAAACATACTGAATTGTTCTATTAATCAGACTAAATCTGATCATGCCCATTGTTTGGACATGTTTGGACGACTTTTGAAGGTGGATGACTGTATTAAAATCGCACGGTCTAGACGCCAGGAGAACGACATATTATGAACACGTGTGACTGTGTGACCGGGAACGTTAATTGTGAGCCATACCAAGCGTGCATAGCACATTCCATGCTTCACTTGATCAGCCAGAGTTGTCACTTTCAGGATTGCAGACGCATGCCAGTTGCCCATACATGACTGTTTGGAAAGTGATTTGTATTCTTCGTGGGAACAACGGGGAGCAGCTCGACACTTTTGGAGCAAGTTGCCATGAACAGGACTCATGGATGTTGTGTACATCTCACACGATACTGAAGTGATGCTAGAGATTTGTTCTTGGAAAGACACTCGTGTTCGCATTTTCCTCCCCAAAGATCAGTTGATAGCGACATGAAGAACGAACTTTCCCTTGAAGTTTAGACCAGCGGTAAGATATGTCCGCCCTCTCCATGCGGCGGCGCATTCTCGCGCTCCCTGACATCATGGAGAAGTGGATCGTCCAAGCACCGCCCGTCGACGCGGTGGGCCACACACCGGCCACCACGCCCGACGCGTCCGGCCCTACGCACCGCGTCCGTCCTAGGCCACTTGCTGGCGCCCTTCGGGTGTCGTGGCATCTACGCGGGGATCTTCATCGCCACCGTGGGCCTCGGCGTGGTCTTTCACTGCACCGCGGTGCGCCGGTTACCTCGGAGCGCCGAGCAGGGCCGGTTGCGGGCGTTGGTCGGCGGTGGCGGTCGGAGCGGAAGCGGGGAAGGAGGATCCTTGGAAAAGGAGAGCTGGAACTGCGAGGAAACATGGTGTCAAAAAGGATGAAACAGCCCCATTTAATATAAGATTGGTCCGCAATCCAAAATATCCGTTTCTCATGTCCTTTTCGATCTGTTGAATCTCACAGCTTGCTCCGCACAGCTTGCTCCGCACAGCTAGCAACACGCTGTTTCACAAAGCTTCCAAGCTTCGCATCGCCAGCCGTCCATGGTGTTCAGCCGGTTTAGGGGATCGCTCCCACGGCCAAGCAGCCTGGGAGGTGGTGAGCCTGCTCTTCCCCATCGTCGTGGCGATTAGTGAGAGCGAGGACTTGCCGGTCCCCTTGCACCAGGCAGAGTACTTGGGGGATTGGGATGGTCGGAGAACGAGTACGACCGAGCGAGCCACCGTGGTTGTACTTGGGGTTCGGAGTTTTCATCATCCAGTGGGTTTAGTGGAAGTATGTGGAAGTGCAAAGATGGATGAATACAGCGAACAAGAATGTCTCTTGATTTTAGTTGATGAAACTATGCAGTTTTCATTGGTGCATGAGGGAATTTTCAGGCTTGAAGGGCAACAGGCCTTTTCGGGGGGAAGGTGGTGGGTCTTAACTTAATTTGTATACCCTTCACTTTCCTCATACTCCGTCTCCTTACGATGTTTTCTCAGGGTCTGTCCAATATTGGCACACGCCCCACCGTGGCCAGCCTCGAAGAGCACACTGTGGCGTCGCACCGCGGTTGGGGGCGTTGGTTGGCACTGCGGTCAGATCAGTCACACCGTTTGAGGCCTACCAACTTGAAAGACTTGGTGGGTGGGTGGGTGGGTGGGTGCCAAGTCTTCTTGTGAAAAAATGGCCCCCTGACCAGTGATATGAGTGCAACGAGGGAGTCCGTTGCTGCATGGGGGTACCGCATGCATCTCCTCACGGAAAGTGTGCTGTTCAGTGTTAAACTATGTTACTAAACTATGTTAAACTCATATAGTTATCCTCCAGTGTTCTCATACTCGTCATACTGGTGTCTCCTCCAGTGTTTTCAGGTGACCATCCTTCTCCTCCAGTGTCACGTTTTCCTCATCACTTCTGTCAGTTGGGTTCAGGCCATGGCTGTATTGATGATGGGCGCCACTTGCCAAGTGCCCTGGGCTACTGCTCAGACCTGCGGAAGAAGCAGCGTGCGTGGCTACTACCGGTTATTCTTGTTCGGTTTAATGCGTGCAGAAGGAGGTGTTTGAGGCTACATTTCTTTTTGGGGGGGAGGGGAGTTCAGACAGTACAGTTACTCAATACCCAACGCATACTCTAGGTGGCTGGACAGCAATTAAGTGAGTTAGTGAGATGATTATATCACATTAGCAGACATGATTGGCTAGGTGTCTTGTTTGTTCCAAGATGTTTGCTTTTTCAAACAAAGATGTGTGTTTGTGTGTCAGTCAGAAACGATGTTTGTTTGCTGGAGGGTCTTGTAGACCATACAGGTGATTTCCAATCTGTCTAGCGCTCATTCTTTTCTGGGCAATCCTTTTTTTCTTACAATGGCCTGCGCATGTGCCTGTGTATGCCGGAGACATCATCTCCACAAAAAAACATCTCTGAAGAATACCATACATCCAACAAGCATGGAGGTGGAACATGGCCCCGAAAGGAACACGGTTTTTCCTCTACAAACAGGCGGCCGTTTGGCTCATCCATGATTGCTGGTGGGAGTATTTTTTTGGCCCGAAATGCCCTCACCCTTACTACATTAAGTAGGCGGCTACGGCTAATTAAGTAAGACCTAAGTTAGCTCCTAGGTAGGACGCAGGATAGCTCACGCTTCTTCAAGGAAGCTTCTCCCGCATGAGGGTGGAGGAAGCTTCCTTCAAGAAGAGCTCGCACTATGCATGCGATTCCTAGATGTTTACGGAAAGCAAACACAACCAACACTTGGGCCCTCATCCATTTCTCCAGGTCCTGTCGCCGGTGTCCTACCAGACCAACATTATGGCCGCTCGGAGACAACGACGACGTGCTCTGTGACTGTGCGGTGGTGTGGGGACAAACCAGTTGAATGTATCGCCTTGCGAAGTCTTGTCACATGTTCGTTCTACTAGTCCAAAGCAAATCGGCCGCATGTGTCACAGCTTCTTGCAGAGGCGTCACCAAATGGTATCATGTGACCACAGATTTAGTGCATGTTTCCTGCAGTTCAACTGGATTTGTTGGTGCACTGTGCCCTGTTACGCATTTGGCCAATTGGATGCCAATTCAATTGGGATCTATTCAATAATTGGGTGGGACGTTTTGACAACCGCAGAATGGTACCTGTTTGGAGCTGTTTGATGGCTGTGCACAGACCCACCCACCCACCCACACTTTGATGGGGTTCATCCAGTAAGATAGTCCACGCAGAAAGGAATGACAGAAAGGTAAGGCGAAAAGTCCGAGCACTTGAAGATGTTTGAACAACTGTTGTCGAATCGCCAAATTAGTTACTGAATACTTAGCAGTCTTGAATTAACGCCATGCATAGGGGAGTAGGTTCCATAGGGAAGCGAGACATGTGAATCGCTTCAAATAGGTAAAAAAGGAAGTGAAGCCTCCTGTTGTATAGCTAGAAGACATCAGTGTTCAATGCAAGCCTCTTCGTTGGGCTGGTACTTGCACTGAACAACTTGCCCCCCTGCCTTCAATCTAGCGAAAAAGTTCCCTTATAGGCACAGGGTTTGACACACACACACACATTGACTGTAAGGCAAAGCTGACAAGAGTCCTCTTCTTTGGGCGCTGAGTGCTGACTTGATCCATAGTAAGTTTATCTCAGAAGGTCTTGCTGCATCTTGATGATCTTGAGAGATCGAATAGTATGTTTGCGAAGCTAATTGTTTTTCTTGGTTCCAAGTGTAGGGGCAACCTGACCGTGCCGCATTGTTGAACTTCTACGCTTTCACTTTTTACACGTACGACAACACGACTGGTTCTATCGATTGAGTCTTAAGCGCATCCCCCAAGGTACAAAGCCTAAGAGAGCCCAGAAAACTTGCATGATATCCACTCGAGATTGAATGTGGCGACGCACGTGTAGAGATGCAATGAGTCCAATTCTTTCTCAGGCAGCAGCAAGACAGGTATCTAAAGTACGTAATGTTTTCACATGTTTTCACCATTTCAATCCCAGCACGCACATATGATTCAGGCATATGGTCTACATATTGAATGAATTATTCCGATCCCGTTGCCACCCAGGTCTTTGCCTCGGGCTGCTACACCTTCGCAGACGCTTGGAGCGGCGGCCGCTGTCGGTCCGGGGCGGAGGGGTGCAGACACGCTGTCGGTGCAGGTAGGGGCAACACTGGAGGGGGTAAAGTCCTTTCGGTTGGTGGTAATTACTCGTTGTGCTTGGAATGGCGTATGAATAGTTGATTGTGAAGGCCGTATGTGGAAAGACTTTCCGTATGGAAATTTGGTGTATTTAGCTGTATGGACAAAAATTAGCGTACAAAACCAACCCTGAAACCTCAAATTTATCTCAAGTTTAAATATCAAATTTGTATGATGGGAAAATATACAAACACCCATAGATATGAGCAAAAAACACAATCAACCCAATATTCGCAGGAATTCCAGCTGTATTTGTCGATTTGACAGAAAAGGGCCTTATGCGCAGTTTTTTTGTGTTTGAGCAAAAAACCTACACATTTGGGTCCCCTGGTGGGGTTTGATTCCGGTGAATGGATTTGGGCTTTGCTCCCAAGGCTCTTCTTTTGGACGAGAGACAACCATTTGCCCAGTGGCTTCCAGTTGCTCCTGTTGACGTCTCCGGTCGCAGTCCGTACAATCTCCAGACGTCAAACACCTGGTGTCCATGTGTTTTTCCTCTACCAGGACCCCTAAGGGGTGGTTAGTGGACACCCCTTAACTCAACCTCTAAGGGACTATTATATAGACACCCCAAAAACTGAGGGCCCTGATATTTGGTTACCAAACTTAGTACACCCCAGTGGCTTTAGAAGCGTTCTCGGTCTTCAGTCGCTTCTCGCAGGGTTTCATGAGCGATCTCCGGTGGACGGAGGATTTTCCGAGAGTGGGCTTCGGCATTGTGGTCTTGGTGGGCATCATTTCAGTGGGCTTTGTGGATCAACTCCTCCTGGACTGAGCCGGTGTGCTGGTTTTCGCGTTGGAAAACGCGTGATCCATGGATCATGGGAGTAGTGTACTCTTGAGACTTAAGTTTCTGCGAGTGCAAGAGAGGGTTGCTGAAATTGAAACTATATAATTAATGATCGTGCCGCAAGACAGAGAGGCAAGCTCGATTCGGATTCGGGGTGTGGAGAATAGATCCATTGGGAATGATTCTTCTTCCCGGTGTGGTGCCTTCGATTTTGGGAGATGAACAGCTGGCTGCCGTCACGTGGATCGTTGTTGACTCAGTAGTTGCACTTTCAATTAGACGGACCTCACGAAACGCCACGGCCTGCCAGGGGTCGTGCACCTACTCAGTAGTTACCCCCCCAATTGTTGGATTGTGACACAGTTTCAGGCCCGGTTGCCACCGGGGTGAGGTGATATGAATCCACAGCCTCGTCTCCATCGAACTCGTCTCCGAACTTGTGAGTCGCTGTCCTCGTCGAGGTATCTTCGCCGGCGAAACGTGGGTTGAGCCCGGCTTTCCCGAGGATCGACGAAATGGATTCGGATGCGGTGTTCGCTTTGGGGTTTCTGTGACGACTCAATGTTGACAAGTGGAAGAACTGGAACTTGGAACAGACACCCAACACGAGGTGATTATCCACGGAAAGAAGGTGTTTGGATGGTGAATGCCCTGTTTGATGGTTTGGTGTGCTCCTGGATACTGAACTTGCCATGTCCAATGGTGGGACGCACACTGCTTAAACATACTACCCATATACGCGTGATTTGGCGGTTGCTTGGTTTCACCCAGCCAAAATGGTACGTGCGGAGTAGATCGGAGTATTCACTTTGCATTCAGCTCGGGGGTTCGTCCCACACAGCTGCATCCATTTGCATTCCGAGCCTCGAGACACACAGAGCAGAACGCTACGCCTGCAGAAAGGAGAGGTGCAAGTGAGCGAACTGCGCTGTCAGTCGCTACTTTAATTCTTGCGCTGTCAGTCCTTTCAACGCCATGGAAGGTATGCCCGGACCTTCAATTGAAGGGCCTGACCAGGGCTATCCATGCAGTTCAGCAAAAGCCGATGCGCACCGGCTGGCTTTGATGTCAGATCTCAAAGCAAAAGATCTTCAACATTCTTCAACTATCCTGCAATTAAGGACACACATTGAACCCACACATAGAATCATATAAGACATAATATATTATATAACATCCCTATGAATCTACATACCTGAGAAGGAGGTTTGGAGGGTCCATTTACCTTTTGAGAAGGCATGTGGATCCCTAGGGTGTGTACACCAAATGGACATATTGCGGTTTCAGACCCTGGAAGACATGTGCTCGAGTCATGCGACTTGCTCGAGTCGGTGACATGTTTTGATTCGGGAACCGAACACAAACGTGTTCAGCAGATCGAGGCCATTCAGAAGGATCCTAATCAAGCTCGGTGCTTCGCTCGGTTCCGCTGGTTGCCGGGCTTGTCCCGGTTTTGTCCCAAATAGTGGTTTTTTAAAGAAGCCCGTGGGTCAGGCTCTACATTTTCTATGACCCACACCACTTTTGCCAGACCTGCCGTGTGGCAACATCCAGGTGGATTGGAACAAAGTCTACCGCAGAGAGTGGGGACTCCTTGTTGCCGATACGTAATACGATGTTCTCTTCGCTTGAGGGCGAGGGGCGGCTTCTGGGGGGGCCAAAGGAGTGTGGGGTTCGATGCCTTCAGGCGCCCCATGGGGTGTAGAATCAGTCAGACCTCCTAGTACAAGGACACAGCCCTCGGCACAGCCCTTGGGAGTTCCGTGGCGTTTGAGACTCGTTTCTTGGGTGATTCTTGCTGGCCTCTGTTGTGTGAAATGTCAAATGAACAAGATTGTCAGGAGCCGGACTTTAGGAGGATCCCATATTCAAATGATAGAAGCGCATGCCACCGGCAATCAGAGCCGTTTTCACCGAACCAACACCAGGGTGAACCATAGGAGACCCAAGCAGATGAAGCAGATGGGAGTCAAACGTCGCTGGGGAGTTCTCAGTTTCTCAGTCCATCCGGCCGAAAGAACATGTTTGGGGAGGTATTTGGAATGGTTCATGCAGCAGCTCTTGACGGTGAAAAAACAACTTGAGAGAACACTCCAAAAAAATATCCGAGACATTCTCGAGGCATCTGGAAACTGGAAAGCATTTTGCGCTGGCAATGGTGGAATAGTTTTCCTACGGAACAATATCGTCGACCACTGAAATCTTCAATGCACAATCTGACTCAACAACACGGAAAAAACGAGCTGTCTTCTCAAGGGGCCCTGCGATCCACTTTCATATTATGACTCGCTCGTCTTTGGGACCGTGTTGTGTCTCTTCTTGAGTGTGATGTTTCTGTGTTTTTGACATGATATTGTTATATATTGTTTGTGGATGTTTGTGGCTTCTAGTTGCTTTAGTTTCGTGCCTTTTGGTTGTTTTGCAGTTGGGCCTGTGCCGTTTGTTATTTGTTGTGTGTTGCCTTCAGTGTCCAGTGGACTGAGTACTGCTGCATGTGGCAAGCACTGGGTGCAGTGGCCAGCTCCATATAGGGTCCACCAATTCCTCCCGTACGCCTGCGTCCTCCATGCCCGGACTCCATACCACAAGCTCCATTCCTTCATGTTCATGTCACTGTCCTTTGTATACATATTTCGGTTCTTGTTCTTTTCTAGCAAAGTCGACAATTGTCCTATTATTAGATATAATTAGCATATTGTTGCGCGTTTTATGTCCTTAAAACCCAAACAATCAAATCCTTTCGTTGTGTGTTCATGTTTCTCATCTTTCTGGACATGCTTCTGAATATTCCAGAAATTTCCTGTCACTTCTCTGACTTTTCTCACTGTGTCGTTTCGTCGTCGAGGAGAACCCTCCTCTCTTGTCCGTTTTCCCCAACCAACACAAAAACTTGTCCAAGCTTGCTCACAAATGACATAACATATAACATGTTTTCTTCCGAGCCCATGTCACTTGTTCCGGGGTGAGTGAGCGGCCCCTGGGCCGTGAAAATCCTTTGACAGAGTTCGCGACGCCCGAGGCCGCAGCGTTGCTTCCCGAACTTTCCACCAGTGAAGCCACAGGCGGGCCCGGCGCAGTGCTGGGCGATGGGGGAGCCGGAGCGTCTTCTGGGCCATGGGGAGACCAAATGGAGTGATTTTCATGGCAACCACGGTGGATGACCCGCGGTCAGGTGTGGGTGCAAAGTGTGTTGTCAGGATGGGTGATGGGTTTGGAGAGTTGGGAGTTGACCAAGAGGAATTGCTGGTGCTTGGGGCGAGTCGGTTCGATCCAAATCAGCTCTTGGATTTGACTTGGCGGTCTGAGTTTTGAGTCTCAGATTGATTTCGCCTCTTTGCCCTGGAAATTTATATGTTCTTAGAGGCGAGGGTAAGTTCGACAACATCAACCTATGTCACAATCAGCTGGGAGTCTATTCAGACAACCCCATATCCGTCATGTGCGTGTGGTTGGACCAAAAGGAGTTGGCCTATACTTGATCACGGGTTCTGTTTATACTGAACTAACTACTCTTTGTCGAGTTCAGTATTCCAGCAATGTCTTTATTTGGATGTGTTTCTTTTCGGGACTCAATCAAGTTGCAAGAAAAAAGAACGTGTGTCTTCCATATCCGGCAAGCTTGTGGATCAGCTGTGACGAAGAGTCAATTCAAAAGCATTTTTATAGCCTCAATTGCTCAAGTACTCTCCAACAGGATCCCAGAAGTCTCCAAGACCAGCCACTTTGAAGTCTCCAAAAGCCACCGGAGACCTGGAGGGTGTTCGGTCCTTCGTTTTGACTCGGTCTTTCAGGTTCTCAAACTGAGAAAGATTCAGGATGTCGTTACAGGTCGTTACTCCATTCCCTGCTTGCTGCTGTGGAAAACTTTGTGGTACGCCGACCGGGACGCCCTTCCGTCCGCCCAGCGCGACTGCGCGGCCAACTTCGCCTCCGAGTTCACGGCGCAGCCCGCGCCGGAGGAGTGGTGCCCGCCACGACATGCCACGCGGATACGCTCATGAAATGGTGAAGAATGTTGGGCAGGATGCTCTAGGTGAAGGCTTCAATGAAAAAAACAAACAGGAAGATTTGTCATGGTTAAGACAGCTCAATTGCTCTTGATTAATGTCTTTCTGTCTATCTTTGCATGAAACATATGAAAGTCAATGAAAGTCTTGCATAGACAGAGAGGTCGCACTCACATATTGCATGAAGCCTTGGCTCCCTTTCTGGTGATTGTGACTGCAAGATCTGGAAGTACCATTACAGTACGAGATATTTGTGTGTTTTCGTACCTTTCAGAAAGAGGCATGCAAACAACAACAACAACAACAACAACAACAACAACAACAACAACAACAA